AACTCAAAAAAGGAGGACTGTCCTCCCAAAAGGAGGACGGTTGGTCACCTTATTATTAGCCCTGATGGCTGGAATACCTGGGCCTGTAATTAATCGGAAGGAGCTACTGTTGGTCTCCTGGCACAGCTATGACTTCTGTTATTAGAAGGAGACAGATTTATCTTAGAAAATCTCCAAATTCAGAACTCCTGCCCCTGTCTGAAGTTTGGCAAGCATCATTCTCTCCCTAAAATGCAACCCTGTTGAAAAGGTCCTTTAGTTCTGCCAAGAAATGGCAAAATGAGAAGTTCACCATTTTCTTTTTAAGAATCAAAATGAAGTGAACACTATTTGAACCCCTAGCAAGGCAAATCTGTCTTGCAAGCAAAACTTCTCATTTAGTCATTTATGATTGGCTGCTTTATTTACCTATATTTCATACACTTTGGTCAAGCAGACAACATATTACAACTATATGTTTTGTTTATTACTAACATCTACTATTCTCTTTCCCTATTCCCGGTTCTGCTTTTATACCAGTAAAAGCTCTTATAATAATTATTATACAATGGATATATGTAATGGCTGCTTTATTTGTTTTGCTGCTTATTGGATTGTTGTACAGCACCCAGAGCACTTTCCAGGGGATACTTGTCCATATAAATTTGATAAAATAAATAAATATTTCTTGGTCTCCAGGAATTATAATCAGAAATTGCAAAGCGTTGGCTTTCTGCAGAGAAATTCTGATTTGATCCAGTGAAGAACCAGCATGCTTCTGAAGCAGTTTGGATTAAATCTGAGATTAGCTGAACTACCAACATAGGCTTTGAATGGAATGGAAACTCTTTTTAACCAGCTGGCTTATGGCACAAACTACAGATTCATGTGATACAAAGGATACAAATCCAGAGGTAGGATTTTCTTCCCCAAAAATGCACACACAAATGAAAATTACCTTTGGACTCTAGAAACAAACGGGACTTTTTTCAAATGTTTCTTATTTGCTGTATAAATCAATCTGAACAAGTTTATTGCCAGAAACTGCTTACTCAGAAAATATGATCTGGCACCAACACTCATTTCAAACAAGACTTTTAGATTTACTGATCATCCTTATTGTCCACTAACAATTCAGTTGTCAAATGGATTGCCCTAGTATTTGGCTGGCTGAGGAATTGTTGGAAAAACACCAAAGAAAACCACTCCTATTTCTCTTTCTTCTGCAGCAGAAAAGAGATGATAATTAAAATCTCTCCATAATGTACTGTAGATGGAAAGAGATATTCTCAGTTCTAGTTCCTGATGCTGAGTGCTTTGATTTCCACTGCTTTTCCACTAGATTCCTTCTTCTTACATAAGGATTTCATATGTTTAACTAGCAGATATTGTTTCAGTTCAAGCCCATACAGGTTGGATGGGTTTTTTTTTAAAAAAAAATGGCTTTTAATTGTTTTGAAAGGATCTTATACTAGATAAGAAGTATCAAATCATTAACCTTTAAGAAAAACTAGTCTGCTCTCAACATTACTATACTGAACCAATAAATGGTCATTGTGTTGGCTGCTGTTTAACAAAACAGAGCAAGCCTTACAGATACAAAGAACGCTGTAGCTATTCTTTCTTTCTTTCTTTCTTTCTTTCTTTCTTTCTTTCTTTCTTTCTTTCTTTCTTTCTTTCTTTCTTTCTTTCTTTCTCTCTCCCTCCCTCCCTCCCTCCCTCCCTCCCTCCCTGCCTGCCTGCCTGCCTGCCTGCCTGCCTGCCTGCCGTACTTTCTTTGAAAAAAGCTCAACAAGTATACCTACTTCCTGAGTAATTTTTAACTGTTTATTTATTTACATAATTTAACTGTTACATTATTTACATAATGATTACATAACTTGCAGGTTTGCTCCATTTAAGATGCTGTAGATCATCTGCAGGTCTAAATCATTAGTTTTGGATTTCACACCTCTAAAATAAAAACCTCAGAAATAAATGCCGATCAACCCATGATCTTTCTGAACAAGCATGGAATGCTGGAGGCTCAATCTATCATAAAAGAGACCATGTGTCTCAGTGGATCTGTTTCGGTTCACTAACACTAACCATACCCACCTAACCATGGCACTATTATGGCCTAGCAATTCTTATAGTAATGTCATCCTCGTGCCCATGACATTGTTGTGATATCACTGATAACAATCAAATAGTGTTAAGAATCACAAATGTGAGATTGACAGCTATATAACTTTAATATGTTAAATAATAAAGATATGTGCTGGTATTATATTTTCCACTTATTGGGACACTATCCAGAGACAGTGCTTAAACACTTTAGATTTTTTTTAATCCATTACCCACCTAGAGGGTAAAAGGTAACTACTGAGAATAGAGATAATGGATATTGTGGCATGGGCAGTTATATGCATTTGATCAGGATATGCTTATACTAATCTGGGAGCTGGCTTGGTTGCCACTATGCTTCAGGGTTCAATTTAAGGTGGAGGCAATAACCTATAAAGCCCCCTATGTGTTGGGACCAGGCTATCTGAGATACTACTTCTTTCCAATTACATATCCCATCAGGTCCAGCAGGGGAAGTGCATTTTATGAGTCTCATGTCCAAAGGAGGATCATTTGGTGGAATTCAGGAAGAGAACCTTTTCTGCTGTGGTGCCCACTCTTTGGAACATTATTCCTCCAGATCTTAGAACAGCCTGATTCTCCAGGCTTTTAAGAAAGGCCCTGAAGACTTGGCTGTGCCATCATGCCTGACAATTGTCTGTAATAGTTGAGAGCTTTTACAATGCTCTGTTGAGTTTGATGCAGTACTGGATTTTGCACTGATCAAGGTTATTTTAATGTAGCTGTTGGTGGTTTGGTATCTTTGTACATCTATTTAAATCTGTTTTTATTAGATTGTTGGTGTTAACTGTTGAGAGCCAACCAGGATCACTTAGGTAAGAAGGGCAGTCATATAAACCAAATAGAATAAATAAATAAAATCAGAACAACAAATGTAATGTTAATGTTGTTTTCTATGATTGAAGAAGGTGATGGCAGTATTTTAACACAGTGGTGGGCATATGCCTTTCACTTATTCAAGAAGAGCACTGATTTATGGAAAATTCGGGGCTGTTTTAAGAATTAAGAGATCCAATGCAATACCCAGCTTGAATTTTCCACCCCTATGGAGTGTTTCAGATTAGCAAAGCAAATTGATTCCAGAAAAACAGCACAATTCTGTATTCAAAAAGGAATATCCACAGAACCTGGATTAAAAAATTACATAGGTATTTATAAGGAGTAGATATAAACATCATCATGCAGTAATATTCCCTTTAGACCAAGCTATCCAATTGGCTAACAAAAGACCACATTGGTTAAATCTAATTGTATACAGGTAGTCCTTGACTTATAATAGATCATTTAGTGTCTGTTTGAAGTTACATCACCATTGAAAAAAGTGACTTTTGACCGCTTTTCACACTTACAACCATTGCAGTATTCCCATGGTCATGTGATCAAAATTCAGATGCTTGGCAACTGGTTCATATTTATGACGGTTGCAATGTCCTGGGATGATCACCTTTTGCAACCTTCTGATAAGCAAAGTCAGTGGGGAAGCCAGATTCATTTCACAACTGTGCTAAGAAAGGTCATAAAATGGGGCAAAATTCAATTAACAATAGTCTTACTTAGCAGCATAAATTTTGGACTCAATTGTGGTCATAAGTTGAGAACTACCTTTATTAACATGGAGGTATGTAACTCTTTGGGAGACCTGCTTATGTAAAAATCCCATCAGCTCAAGGCAAATTCATAATACCCTCTCAGAGGCAGATTGGTGGAGATATGCTCTTGCTTGCCCACTTCAATCTTTTCTTGGATCTAAGGCAGCTGCATAAACCAACCTTGGAAAATGCTATCTCTAGATCTGAAATAGAGCATTAAGGCTTTTGCAAAGAATGCCATTAGAAGGATGGTGCCTGAGTTGACACAAATATTTGTTTTCATATATATTCATCTGCATATAGTTAGAAATAATTAGAGATAAAAGTGTCTTTTAGCCTTGAGAGAAATGCTTTCTAGCCTTCTGCTAAATCCCAAATCATGATGGGTATCTGTCTTGCCCTATCTCACTTGGCAAGATAGTAATTAGTCTTTGCCATTTTCATGCTCATGCTAACTATGTGTGTATTTGGTGCAGAGACATATGGTGCCAAGAAATCCTGTAGTTGTTTATCCAGAGGTAGGATTTCTCTGTCATCTCCCCAGTTAGAACATGTCCTCATGAAAAAAGAGCTGAGAGAAATCGTTTAAATTGCTCTAATTGCTTTTGTGTGAGAGACAGTGAGTGACATGTCTTCAGCCAGTATCATCTTCCTAGTGTGATAATTATGCTAGAGCCTGAAGCTAGTAATTTGCCAGATTTTCCAATTGACTCCCAGTACTTTTATACAAGTCAAGGCAAATTCACTTGATAGCATTATAATTTTTTAGATTTGTGTCAGGCTGTTATGTTATCAGTGAGTCAAAATTTGCAGTGCACCAGCAAAGTAAGTTAGATTGGAGAATCCACTGTTACATACATGATCCCTCAACAGGATTATCTCATCCATTTAGCTTAACTGACTGTTGAAAGCAGTGGTCCATTTTGCACCCAAGCAATTTCTTAAAGCATAGTTAGTTTTAAAAATGCCACAGTGTGTATGAAATATCTAGGCAGCCATTCCAGACTTTATAGCAATAGCAACAGCACTTAGACCTATATACCGCTTCACAGTGCTTTACAGCCCTCTCTAAGCTGTTTACCGAGTCAGCATATTGCCCCCAACAATCTGGGCCGTTTTACTGACCTCAGAAGGATGGAAGGCTGAGTCAACCTTGAGCCGGTGAGAACTGAACTGCCGAACTGCCGGCAGCTGGCAGTCAGCAGAAGTAGCCTGCAGTACTGCATTCTAAGCAGTGTGCCACCAGGGCTCTTATGGTGTAAATATGTTTAAATGCATTTTTAAAGATCCTTTTCTCAAACTTACTTTTGTGAGGACAGAACCAATGGAAGGAAGAGCTTGCAATAATGTCTTCATTTTAAGCATAATTTGGGGGCCCAGAATTAAAGAACTTTGTGAATCCTGGGATGCATATAGAATCCATACATTCTGGAACTCACTAAGAAGACAAGGAAACACAAGGAAATAAATATACTACTATGACATGCCAAACATTACTCTGCATTTTAATCCATTCCTCATCAATTTGATAGAAAACTAGATTAAGATTAAGGTAAATTTAAGAAAGCCACATCCTACCTAGGAGAAATTCATAGAAAATTTCTCCTAGGTAGAATGTGGCTTCCTTAAACTTACTTTAATCTTAGAGCAGAAAAAGAGTGACTGTTTGATTTTTAATTGTACAGTCATTACTCAATTAATCGGCAGCCAAACTGGTTAAATTAAATCTGAAAGGAAAACAAAACATGCAAAATCTCCTTTAAAGTTACCTTCAGAAAGCAAGCACAGCCAAGAAGGTGGGAGAGTGGTAGAAGAAAGTTTAAAAAAGTAAAAGAAAAAGTGTACTATATTGTGATAAAATTTAAATAGCTTGCTGAAAGCAATTCCATTAAAAGAAAATTCTAAAGCATGCTGAGAATGAGGTGGCATCTTGGGCAAAAGAAGAAAATGTTAGACACAGTTTGTTGTTGTTTAAGGAAAAAAAATTAATAAAGGTTATGCTACAAAGTGGCACAGAACCTCACATGGGGGTCTTTTGGTCTCAGTTTGAAATTGCTGCGAATTTAAATGAATTAATTTCCACCTCATTCTCACTGGTGCTCAGTGTAGTAGTTTGGTTTCAGATCCAGGCTGGGATTCTGATTTTAAATTGCTCTGCTTCTTGCTCAATGGAGAAAGAAAGCGATAATTATGCAATTGAAATCAAGTTCCAGAGAAAGAACCAAGTGTCATTAGAACATACAAGCTTGAGATTTCAGTGGAGCAGAATGGCTATGCCTTGGTTTTAATTGGATTTACAGCACTATCATTTTTTTTCCCTGTGAGGAAAATGAATCTTTTGTAGCATAATAATGTTTACATGCTATTTCTTAAGGTTATGTGATAATTGGTTGGGTTTATCAGAAACCTTTCACATTTCCAATCCTCACTTTTCAGTATATAAACTTACACTCGCACATATACAAACATGCATAATACAAGATCACAGATTACATGGATTTTATTATTTTAAAAAAAAAATGATAGCACATTTTGATAATTTAGAATTGTGAAAAGCGGATGAGTCAATAGGGGATTCTGAATCACGGACGATAGATAAATATTGCCTTCTGGATTACAGGCAGCATAATTTAAGTACCAGCTACCTCAAAAAGGACATTCTGTCTATAGAGAATTCTTCATCCAGCAAAACTCTTCTTATGCCTTCCTCTTATTATGTAACACTTACAGTGCAAATAAAACCATAAACTCAAGTATACTATAATAAATTTTAACAATTGAAAAAGCCAAAAAGCAGAGTTCAGAAAAAGACTTGTGAATTGCTACAAACAAGAACATGTTAAACTTTTGAGGTTTTTTTTTTTTTGCAATTGGCAATTCTGAGTTAAGTTACAAAGCTGCCTATAAATTAAGCACATCAAAGGACAATGTTTTAAAGTCCACTCAAAGATAGGCTGGAATATCTTACATTAGAACATCATTAAGCTTTTTTTGAACCTGATTTGATAGATATTTGGATTCTTTTGGCTTATTATCTACACAATCAAGAGATGGTTCATTAGAAATAACCAAAATGATGACTACTATTAGACTTCTTTTGTTCTGCCTGATATACCTTAAAGTTAGGGTTAGGCTTAATCAAAACCAATGTGGTGTAGAGACTTAAGAAATGGATTTGTTTGGAGAAACAGTTTTCATATCCCTGCTTACCTATAGAACTTGCCTCTGTGTATCCATGAGGGAAATGGAGAGAGCAAGAGAGGGAAAAGAATATATGAGAGTTATTAAATTACTGTTATGAGTTCCTTGAGGCTGAAAAGGCGAATGCATTAAATAATACGTGCAGACCTGTTCTTTCACTCTTGTACTTTACCAGGAAGTGATTTTGACTGGAGCATATTTCCTCATAAGCTATAGTCAAATCCTTTCCAGGAGAAACCAGAAAAACAAGAACAGACTCTGTTGACATCCTGGCTTTATAAGTAGGCACACGAAATCAGTTGAGAATAGCTATATATTTCAGTGGCTGAAACTGTGTATAAATCCTCCGACTGATAGTACCAATTATTTATTTGTTCATTTGATGGAAAATATTTATACCCTGTTTCTCATCAAAGAATCCCCATCACAAATTCAAGTACTATACCACTTCCTCCCTTTGAAAGTTACATGATTTTGTAAAATGTTATTGTCAGATAGAATTACTAATGGCTAAAGAGATGCTTCCCCACCCAAGATGCACAACTTCTCTTGACATTCCTCTAAGTTTAGATAACTGAGGTATCTGCTATTAGGTCTGGCAAGAGCAGTAGAAAAGAGGAGTTATTTAGCTCAGTGGGTGAGTCCTGATTCTCCCATTGCCAAGAGCCCTGAAAATCAGAGACTAGGTGGAGAAATAACCATAGTGGTCTCCAGGGGATAATAGGAGCCAAGCAGCACCAAGGAATACTTAGATATGTAGTGCTATAGATTGTATGGCCCAGTTTGTGCCAGAAATGCTTGAAAACACCACTTTAGAACTGGAACAAAAAAAACACAAGTTGCTGCTTTCGTGATGCATCAGGGACAATCTCAAGACGACATCATCCATTTATGTGTTCAAATACAATTGCCAATGTGTCTCCCTAACCCAATTCATATTAGGATAAGTATATTGCAGTGCTTCAGTAGAGCCAGGCAAGGATTTCTCGGAGTCTCAGTTGCTTATAAAAATGTTCTTTTGGCTATCTTAACTCTTGATTCAGTTTTTCCATAACACTGAGAATACCTAAGAGACATTTTGTATGGGAATTTCCATTTTAGTTCAGAAATGTACGCTTTCTCTTGGGAGATATTGTAGAGCACTGATGAAAATAGAATGTTATTCCATGCTTTATGAAACAGGCTTTACGTACACCTTCTACTCTGTATTATGTTACATTGCTTTAACAATATTTCTGAATACTGCAGTCAATACTGCTTGTAACTTCATTTTTAACTGTGTGTATTGTATTTATACTCTACTAATAACAGCTGTTTGCTGACTGTAATACCAATTTCTGAAGTATTACACTAGAGCAGGGGTGTCAAACTGGAGGACTGCAGGCCGATGTGTCACGAGCAGTCCACGCCCACCCCAGCCCTGCAAAGGTAAAAAACATTGTGATGCGTCAGGATACGTAATGTGATGTGATCGAGTTTGACACCCATGCACTAGAGCAGGGGTAGGCAACCTTGGCTGTTTTATGACTCGTGGACTTCAACTCTCAGAATTGTCTCTCCCAGAATACAAATGTCTCAAACTTGCTTTGAATTCTAAGACAATCTCAACTATTTTGCCTGTTTATTTAGAATCACATTTAAATTGAATGTTTTCATTTTAAAGGTGCTCTCTTACTATTTTGAAATAAAATGCAACCAGGCAAAGCTGAAAGTCTTAGGTGGAGCACACTGACTGAAATGATCAAGGGCCAGTTTTTCTGGGTGGGTGATTTTGACAGAAGTTAGCACCGTATGATAAATAAGGCAAGCCAAAGCAAATGTCATTCAGCCAAGTATCAAGTTGTGAAACCCAGCTGAGAGAAGGAGGGTGTACCAGGAAGGAGAGCGCATAACCTGGAATGTAAAGGTGGATTCCCAGGCCAGCTTATTGCTTACTTTCACTTTGTCATGAACCAAAACTGAGATGGTGCAAGACAGACATAATACTGAGAAGAAAACATCCAAGCAAAGGAAGGAAAAGAGATCAAGGTATTGTGCTAGTCAGGAACAGATGGTGATGATGATGGTAGTGGTGGTGGTGGTGATGATGATGATGAAGCAAGTGTCAGGATGAAAGGTTGGATTTTTCAATTTCTTAAAGAAAGCATACAGTTCTCATGTTTCTGTTATGCTTAAGAATGGTATTTAAGTTTTTATCATTGTAACAAACTGGAAGGGTCAGTTGCAAATGTCCCAGGATTATAGTATACTTTAGTTAATAGCATTCTTTGTAGGATGATACAAAGATTTAGGGTCATTTCTACTATACAAAGAATATGAAGGTGAGTTAGATGGGTCTCAGTTAATCTTCTGTATCTCTAATGATGCATTTGGAAGGGCAGAATGAGAAGACCACAAAAGAAAAATAGTGTTCTAAATTTTTCTGTCATTTCTAGAATTAAATTAAATTCAGGACTGTCTTCAGGATACCAGTAAGCACCAAACACCAAGATGGCAACTGTGACTTCACCTGTATTTTATGTGTTGTTTTAATCATACTATGGCAGCTGCCAACTTGACTGTTTTTTTATTACACTTTGCAGAATGTTTGTTTTTGATTCAGATATCAAGAGGCTAAAAACTGTATCTTTCTCCTAAAAATCTAATAGTTTGGGGGGGGGGAGAAGGAGGGAGGGAGAGAGAGAAAAAGATTAAACATTTGGTTATTTTTCTTGTACTAAAAAAAGTGGATAGTTGAATAATGACAGGTATAAGCCAGTTTGATGCTACATAGGCTGTCAGGATGAGATCATTTTCAGCTTACTCGCATTTATTTTTGCTGAATTTGTAGATTGTCTCTTCCCTCACTGCCAGTTTTTCCACAGCTGGTAATGTGCTTCTATTATTGTGAACATTGTTAAAGATTAAATGGAAAAAATCCTCAACACATCTCCAATAGCCATTAATTCTGGACACAGGAATACAAGAGAAAAACATGAATGTTTTACTGACCAAAGCAAAGTAATTCTGGCTGTATATTAAACTTTCTTTTCTCTGCTTTACACCCACAAGATGGTGCTATCTTAATGCATACGGCTTTTTGTTGCACCATTGCTAAAAGGTTTCTTGAAATTGTTTTATTAGGATGGGTACATTATAACTTACTCCTCTAATATTTATTCACTACAAATCAAATCCCACTGAGTTCAATGAGACAATATAACTTTGTGAGTTCAAGAAGGCTGGGATAAATGAAAAGCAAAGTGACCATGCCCGCTGTTTGGGAACAGCTGCCAAAATAATTGCAGAAGCCTGAGGGGGAAGTGGAACTGTTTTAATGATTTGAAGAGAAATGCTTCATTTGCACCACTGTAGGAATATGCACCTATTTGTATCCAAAGCAGTGTTTTGGGGGAGTTGCTGGTTCAGCTGCTGTATGAACCCAGAAACAAGCTTAAGGTGGTGCCCAAAGATGCACTGAGCACCCTTCCCCTTCAAAGTCTCCCGTTTTGGATCTGACTAGTTACACATCACCATGCCACTGTATGTGACAAAGGATCTTCACAATCCCTTACATAGCTATCATCTTGAATGGTCGGCAGGGTTTTTTTTCAGAATTTGAGTATAATTCATTTGTCAGCATTCTATCTATCTTCATTTCCAGTACAAACTGTGGAATTTTTCTTCATTGTTTTTAGTGGGATAATCCTAACCCTGTAAAAAGGGATGTCTGGAAAGAGCAAAATAGAAAAAATACATTATGTCTTAATTTCCTTGAATGAAGCAGGTTAATTTATTGGTTCATTTCAAATATTGAACCATGCTTTGAATGGATTTACTTCCATGGTTGAGCCCCTCATTATTCCCTATTTAAATATTTCCAAATGTTAATTTCTCCAACATTGCTTTAGAAACTTAGGTTGTACAACTGCTAAAACATATTAGAAATGCCAACATATTATCACATAAGGCAAGATAGAGTTGTGGGCAATTTTCTTAGTTGTTAAAAAAAATTCTACAATTAATCCTCACATTACAGAAGTACCAGAAACATAACCCAGATCCGTATCATGGGCTCAGTAAAGCTGAAGGCTGTCAAATGCCCAGAACTGATATGTTTGGATAGATTTCCTAGTTCTTTCATTAACACTTTTGCTTTCTCAAATCTGTTAATATTTATTAAGGGAAAGTAATAAAGAAAAACGTGCCAAAGTCCAGTCTAAACTGTCGAGGCAACAGCCAACACTTTTCGACAATCATGAGCCAGACACCAGCCCCATCTAAGCCACTCAATGACAAGTCTGAAGAAAAGACTTTTGCGTTTGGAGTTCCTGACATTGTTGTTGTCGTCATTTATTTCATCTTTGTCCTAGCTGTAGGAATATGGGTAAGTCCTCTAAATGGCCATTTTGGCAATAAGGGAAGCTCTGTCTGTCTGTATCCTTTAGGTGGACAATACTATGCAGAAAGTCACAGCTTCTTGTTCCTGATGTTTTTTGGGCCTGATAGCTGCATTAAGGTTGATGACTTTCCCTTCTTAACACAAACCCTAGCTGGAAAGAAATCATTCTCTTTGCAAAAGGGAGGTTTTTTATTTATGTTATTTATTGCATAGACAACTGTTTTGTTTCACAGGTGAATTTATACACCTTTCTCCTGATACCACAGATATGAAAGATAGCTGAATATTCTCCACAGTGTTCTTTATTTTCACTGTTCCTCTAGAACAGGAGTGTCAAACTGCTGGCCCGCGGGCCAGATGCATCATAGCAAAACCACACCCACCCCATTGCTGGCAATGGCAAAAAAGTCATGATACATTGCGACATGTCACTTGATGTTGCTCTAGAACAGTGATGGTGAACCTTTTAGAGACCAAGTATCCAAAAACTGCTCCGCCCCGCCCGCCCCCACCCCACCTGCTCACACCCACCGCCTCCATAGCCCACTGCAGCAGATTGCCCAGGTGGCCCTGCAGCACCATGGTGGCCACAGCATCATCTACATTCAATGGGACATGAGGATAGAGTCTTGTCCCTGCTGCCCAACTGCCATGTCCTTGGCTGCGCTGCTCCACACGGGCCATGCCCTAGGGCAACTCTCCTCCAGGGGGGTTGCTGTTGAGGGGGCCACAGGGGA